ATGCAAACGTACGTACAGACGTACCCACAAGTGTAAAAAATTCGCATAAAACCATATATATATATATATATATACATATGCATACAAATACGCATTTTGCCGGTCGTTAGCACCAGATACAATGTCATATTTGTACAGATGAAAAAGGTCTATGTCAACGTGTTGGATGATTGCCCCTTGTTCTCCATTCGACAAATTTTCCCTTTTTCCCATTTACATTAGTGTGGCTGGTACTGGGGAACCGGTGGTGGTAGGTCGTCGAACTCATCGTCTCAGTACACCGGCAAAACGCGTTTTGTTCCAATTCTGCCCATGCTTCCTCGCCCCCCCCCCCCTTCCCTCCCTTTTCCCGTCGTAGCGACATGGAAAATTTCCCTTTCTCTCTCTCTGTGTAACATTTTCCCTCATTTTTCCTCGTTTTACCATTCTTTTCTACTGTAACTTTCTATTATATGATATGTATCATCCTTTTTCCCCCTCAAAATAGAGACCTCAATTCCACGTACGTGAAATTCTTACGCTTACGAAAAGAGGTAAATTTTTGATCCTTGTAATTTCAAATTTTTTTTTTCGCGCCCCCTCGCCCCTCGTCGTAGCTACATAAAAATTTCCCTTTCTGTCTCCCTCTGTGTAACATTTTTCCTCATTTTTCCTCGTTCTCCCATTCTTTCCTACTGTAACTTTTTATTTTATGATACGTATCATTCTTTTTCCCCCTCAAAATAGAGGTCTCAATTCCACGTACGTGAAATTTTTACGTTTACGAAAAGAGGTGATTTTTTGATTTTTGCAATTTTGAATTTTTTTTTTTCTGGGGGGAAACCAGATGGCCGAGGAGGACAGTGTGGAAAAGCTGCTGACATTTTTGTCGCCACCTGCTGCTGCTGCTCCAACATCAAATGAACGAAAAGTAGCAGTAATTGATGTACAGGGGATGACCTGCCATTCATGTGTCAATAATATCCTGGAAAATTTACGATCTCATGCCGGCATCCATCGAGCAGGTGTTTCGCTGAAACAAAAGGAAGGTACTTTCTCCCATTTTATGATATTCCGTTTTTTTTTTCAGTACTTTTAAAGTAATTGGTCAAAATTTGAAAGTCAAAAGTCGAAACTCCCCCTCCTTTATTTGTTAAGCCCTCACGTGGCCCTTGACTGCAGCAGCGAGAGACAGAGGAGAAACACCAGCAGTTTATTCTTCCAATAAACGCTTCACTCCAGAAAAAACGACGAATAAGATGACGCGTCAAATGACGAACGGGACGACGCGTAAAACGATCAGCCGGGGCATCGCACAAGCTGTGCAACAGAAGAACGCCGGCGGTGGGGAAGCGAGACGCCAGCAGCGTTGAACGTAACGGTCGAATGGCGCTGTTGAAACTGACCATTTCCACAAACTAAGGGTTTGGATCTAGGAAAGGGTTTATATAGGGAAGATTAGGAGAAGGGGAAGGAGGGCAAGTTAGTTAGTGAGTGGGAAGGTAAATAATATAGAAACATTTAGAATTTGGTGGAATTGTTAGAAGTTAGTAAGTGGAGGGAAGTAGGTCGAAGCGTTAAG